GAGCTGCCCCTAAGGGAGGGTCTGGTTTGCAGAGGTTTGTGCCTTAACCTGTCTCCATCAGCACTGTCAGGGTGCCTTTCGGATGTCCCATAGAGGCGGAGGTCGGCCGAACATCCCTGGCTATATTGGGGGAAAACCCTGACGTTTACAGGGTGCTCAGCGTGGCTGGCAGCGTCCTGACTGTGTCAGTCTTACAAGGGCCTGGGCTCGGGGTGCAGCCCGAAGAGCAGGGAGGGGCATTTTCATGGACAGGGGAGGTGCCTGAGAGTTAGCACTAAGCAGGGCGGGGTCTCTAAGCCAGGGTATAGCTCTGACTGGTGACTGGATTTTCCTTTCTCTCACTTTCAGGACATGGGTGGCCCAGGACCGGCGACGCCTACAGACAGTGTTCACTACCTTCCTTAACGACCTCGCCCTCCTCTTACGGACCATGCGGCGTTTCGGGCCCCTATTTCCCCCCGAATCTCTGCTAGGGAAAGGGGGTTGAGGTCCATGCTCCCATACCACACAGTGCATCCCTCCCTAGGCCCTAAATTCCTGCATGTATTGCCATGTCCTTGTTGAACCCTAACTTTTTTTGCCTTTGTTAGTTATTCATTGGGTGCTCGGGGCCCACTTGTTTAGTGTCCCTGTTGCTGGACACAAGACAAGACTGAATGTGTGTCACTTCATAAAATAAAGTTGAGCAATGATTCCGTGCCTGAGTTTCTTTCAGCTAAAGCATCTCCCTATTCCAGCTTTTGGCCTCTGAGGAGGATTGCACCTTCCCACGGGGGACATATACTTAGGAGGGAGGGGGAGGTGGAGCAAGTAAACAACACCAGGGTGGTATAAGTAGCTCCGGGGGAAGAGCATTCACAGCCCATGGACAGGAGGTCAGGAGGGGAAGGATGTTTGCTGCTGGGGTGGGGGCTTCGTTCAGCACCTGCAGGACTCAAAGCAAAGGTCAGAGGAAGAGGGCTCCAGTGGGCTGAGGGCATTGTGGCCTGGTACCTGACCCCAGGGGTCTCGCCCAAAACTTCCTCTGTGGGATCAGCCACTGCCCTTGATGGAAAGAGAGCTCAGGAACCAGGAGCCCTCTCCTGGCCATTTCCTTGGCTGATGTTCAATGGGAGGGTGATGATAAAAGGTGTCTCTGTCCAGGGCAATGCGAAGCTGGGGAGAGGGGTCACCTTTGCTGGGGTGAGAGGAGGGTCTGCTTCCTCCCCTGGAGAGCCCGCAGTCCCCTGCCAAGTCAGATCACTGCTGCCCACCCTGCCCAGACTGCTTCCTGCTCCCTGCTCACGGTTACAATCGCTCATCTTTAAGAGCTTTGCAAACCTTTACCCAAATAGCAACCAGAACAAGAGATTCTTGAATGGATCGTGGCATTTATCTGGGGGAGAGATGGACCTTGGAATGGGAATAAGCATGCCTTAACTAACTGTGAGCACAGATGAGCAGGCTGAATCAAGGGGAAGGGTTTCAATATAAAAATGAGCAGGATTCAATCATAGAGACATTGCTAGGTGAATATCCTTGAAGAAACGTTTCTTTCTTCAATCAGGTTGTGGTGGCCTTTGTGCAAGGTTGTGTTTCTGCAAAGTTGTATGATGGCTGCTCTCCGGCAGATGCATGAGACAGCCCTTCTTCATTCAATCCCAGCCAGCTTTGCTTTTTACTTTTTTTAGAATTATTCTGAGGATCTTCCACTTTAAGTACATTTAATACATTTCTTCAGGATGGACTCTGCGGCCTATGGAAACTGCTATCCAGTACAAAATCATTAAAAACATTTACTGACACCATAGGGTAGCACTTTAAAATTTTCTTCTGATGCAAACTTATTTGGGGTGACAAGTGATACAGGTCATTCCCTCAAAGGTTCCTTGCGTGCCAGTGTCATATATGAAGTATCTCATATTTTACTCACTGAGGTAAGAATGTCAGGTGAGGCGTGGTGGCGCAGGTCTGTCATTCCAGCATTCAGGAGGCTGAGGCAGGAGGATCATCATGAGCTCAGCGCCCGCCTGGCCTACAATGAGTGTTCAGGGACACCCTGAACTGCACAGCAAAACCCTGTCTCAAAAAGACAAAACAGGCACAAGGAAAAAGAATGTCAGTTGAGTGAGACCCTGTCTCAAAATAAAATATATAAAAGGGCTAGGGATTCAGCTGAATGGGAAAGCCATGGGTTCATTCTCAAGTAATGGAAAAAGGTTGTGTTTTTCAATGTTGCAATGCCAGTCTTGATGACGCTGGTACCCTGTTCTTTTTTTTTTGGGGGGGGGTTCTCCGGTACTGGGAACCGAACTCATGACCTTGTGCTTGCCAGGCAGGCGCTTTTGCCACTGAGCTAAATCCCCAGCCCCTTGGCACCCTGTTCTTCATGTGAATTTGGTCTGAGTGACCTGCTTGGCCTCCCTGAGGAAATGAGCTGAAGTACAGTCAGGAGAGCTGAGGACCTGGGAGGAGCGGACTGGGGAGGAAACCCTAGAAGTGCAGGGGAACGGTTTGGTGTCAGTGGATTACAGTGGACTGATCTGTCACATGGGTAGTGAAGTATCCTGTGAGGCGGGAGCGGGAGGGGGAGCAAAGTCCTTTCAGCATCAGGGGAGATTTAGCTCCTTTGCATGTGACAGTAGTGAGATTATAAAGACAGTTGCTGGGTGACTATTCTTGAAGAAAGGTGTCTTTTCTCTGTCAGGTATTGTTCTTAATAAACAATGTACTGCCAGCAAAGGCGATATACACAACAGGAATACATCAGAAAGAAAACACTGAGGCGAATGGAGCCATCCGCAGGGGTGGAACGGACAGAGGTAAAGCAGGCTCCTGGTTTAAGAGCTTGAGGACGTGAGGGACCAGAGGTGCCACACAGACGTAGTGGGACTCAGTTGAGACCCTGGGGCAACCACCTCTGTGTAAGGCACTGTGCCAAGGGAGAATGGTGGGGAATCCCAGGGGGATGGGAGAAGGCATGGGGGACAAAGACATGGATCAGTCAAGCATTGGCGTAGGTGTCCTCCACAGGCCCAGTGCCCTACCCCGCCACCCTCAGTCACCCCCCAACCTTGCGTCTCGGCACAGGCAGATGATCTCCAGTGCCTCCCCCGCCCCCTTTGCACGTCTTTTACACCTATCAGGTGGCCAAGTCAGCAGCTTTGATTTACAAGCCAGAGGGAGCTGCTGCCTCCTCCCACGTTCCCTGCCTCTCTCCCTGGGAGAGCAAGAACTTACACCTCACTGCCTGCTTCTGGCTGTCCCGCTATGAGGGTGCTTCACTCTGACAGAACGGTGGGTCCGTTTGGGGTGTCACCTGCCCCCACTCCCTTGATGCCCAGTGGTGCTTGGGCCAGTCTTGCAAGCGGATGACCACTGGGGGGTCCTCTATCTGCACACATCACCTGGAGATCCAGTGCCCCTTGAAGCCCTGGAGGCAGAGCTGCAGAGCCCCTTTCTTCCCCAGGCCTGGGCATGTACTACTGTTTTGCCCTCTTGATCCAAGTCCTCCCTGTTGGCAGCCTGCGCTGGGTTTGAGAGAAGAGCTAGAGGACCAAGGGGAAGCTGCCATCAGTGAAGTGTCAGACCTTACCCAGCAAGGAAGCTAGGCAGAGGAGTCTTGCAGGACAGCGCTTCTTTCGAAAGGAAGAGGAAATTCAGGGTTGCGGTGCTGCACTGCAGATGTACGCAGCACATTTCCTGACCCTGAACTACGCTGGATGTGAAAAGAAACAACAGTGTCTCCTGGAGAGAGCTGGGAGAAGGCAGTGTTCTTGGAGACTGTCACCAATTATATCAATCGTGTCCCTCAAAGTGCCCATGCTTCATAGGCAGGGTTTTTCGAAGGTGATTGCCTCATGTGGGTAACATTGGTAACTTGCTGTTGGGAAGTGGGATCTGGCCAGGGGAGGTAGGGTACTAGGCATGTGACCTGTAAGGGTACATCTCTCTCCCCAGATCCTCAATTCTCCCTCTGCATCCTGGCCAACATAATGGGAACAGGTTTCCTCTGCCCAGGGCCTTCCCGTATACCTTTTCTGTCTTGGAGTCAGCCAAGCACACATTGCAATGTGAGCCAAAATAAACTTCTCCTCCTTTGATTTCAGGGTGTCAGCAGTTATGTCTGGACAATGGGAAAAGGAAGAGAGTAAAACAGATTTTGGTGCCCAGAGTGGGGTTATTGCTGGGACTACCTGACAGTGTTTAGAAGCCTCTATTTTTTTTTCTTTTTCTTTTTTCTTTTTTTTTTTTTTTTTTTTGTGGTACCAGGGATTGAGTTCATGACCTTGCGCTTGCCAGGCAGGCGCTTATGCCGCTGAGCTATAACCCCAAAATTTTCTGATTTTTTCTTTTGTTTTGTTTTCTATCCAATACTGGGATTAAACTCACGACAGCGTGCTTCCCAAGCAGACGCCCTGCCACTGAGCAAAAGCCCCATCCCTAGAAGCCTCTAGAACAGCTGTGCAGGAAGAGTCTGGAAAGGTTTGGAGATTCCAGCTAGAGAAGCTTAAAATGCTGTGAACTGAGCTTAATGGGAGATTCTGGTTGGCACTCAGGCCCGAATGTGGAGACAAATGCAGATTGTAAAGGCCAGGCTCAGGCAGTTACAGTGGGGAGCAAGAACTCCTTTGGCAGCTGGAATCAAGGCCAGGTGTGCTAGTCTCAGGCAGGAAAAGTGTCTACATTTTGCTAATGTCCTGACACTTTGAGGGAGATTGAGATTAAGTGCAGTGGACAAATTAGTCTGGCAGAGGAAATCTCCAGCCAGCCTACCAGTCAAGCTGTGACATGGATAGTGTTGTGGGATTTTAGCCAGATCTACACTGCGGATCAACAACAAATAGCATAGCAGGGTGATTTCACAACTTTTGAGTGTCAACAGAAAGATGTGGCCACAATGGTGGGGCCTCTAAATTTTAGCCAAAGAGAGCTTGGTTGCTGAGAACATAGTATCACAAAGAAGCCAAGTGCTGCCTACCAGAACAGAAGATAAGATGACTGCAGGGCATGTGTGAATTCAGTAAGACCCGCCTGGCCTCACAGGTTACAAATTGCAGAAGTGAAAGGCTTCCTTTGAGCAGAGAGGCCCCAGGGAAAACCACTCAAGAAGTGTCACCTATGGAATTGGTTCCTTCGGATTGGGTTCACAGAGCTCACTCATTCAGGCACTTGAAGGTCTCTGCAGCCTTGATAAAAAGAGCCCAGCTACTGCTTAATCTGTTGGCAGATGTCAGTATTGTACTTTTGGTGCTGGTTTCACAGGCATGCAGAATGCACTAGTGCTGGATTCAAAGAGGCTTCCACCCATATATCAGAAGTCCTGGGAAGCCACAGAGCATTCCCCTCAGAGGGCAGTGCATGAAGCTGTGAAAATAGAGTCAAATTTTAAGTAGAGACCCTGGAAGTTGGAGAAGCCAGGAACCTAGAATGTTTGCTGAGGAAGGTCACAAGAAGTGATAGAACCATCCCAAGAGCCCTTGAGAGCTGCAACTGGCAATGCCATATGGGTGGGGCTGCCCAAGTTGTTTGA